TGTGAACTGCTGTATGAAAAGTGAATTTACTCTGTAAATCTTCACCCAAATCAAAATAAAATTTTAAAAAAATAATAATATAGGCCATTGGCTTTACATATATACCCTTTATTATGTTGAGGAATTTCCCTTCTATCCCTATTTTGCTGAGAGTTTTGAACAGGAGCAGTTGTTATACTTTATCAAATGCCTTTTCTGCATTGATTGATATGATCATATGGTTCTTTTGTTTTGTTTATGTGGTGGAATACATTTGATTGTTTGTCTGATTATGAACCAATGTTGCATACCATGTATGAATCCCACTTGGTCAGGATGTATTATTTTTTTGATATGTTGTTGGATTCTGTTGGCTATGATTTTGCTGTAGATTTTTGCATCTATTTTCATGAGGGATACTGGTCTGTAGTTTTCATTTTTAGTGGTGTCTTTCCCTAGTTTTGGTATTAATGTTAGCTTGCTTCATGAAATGAGTTTGGGAGTATTCCATCTTTTTCTATGTTCTGGAATAGCTTGAATAGTATAGATGTCAACTTGTCCCTGAGTATTTGGTATAATCCTCCAGTGAAGCCATCTGGGCCAGGACTTCTTGTGGGAAGGTTTTTTTTTTTTTTTTTTTTATGACCTATTCAATTTCTTCCTTTGTTATGGGTCTGTTCAAGTATTCAGTCTCTGAGTGGAATAGTTAAGTTGTTGTTGTTAGGTGCCATCGAGTCATCTCTGACTCATAGTGACCCTATGCACAGCAGAATGAAACACCACCCAGTCCTGAGCCAGCTCCACAATTCTTGCTATACTTGAGCCCATCGCCACCGCCACCATGTCAATCCACCTTGTTGAGGGCCTTCCTCTCCTTCATTGACCCTCTACCTTACCAAGAATGACATCCTTCTCCAGGGAATGGTCCTTTCTGACAACATGACCAAAGTATGTGAGACGAAGTTTGGCCATTCTTGCCTCCAAGGAGCATTCTGGCTGCACTTTCTCCAGGACAGATCTGTTAGTTATTTTAGCAGTCCACAGTACTTTCAGCTTTCTTCACCAACACCACAGCTCAAAAGTATCAACTCTTGGTAGTAGCGGTCTGACGCCTGATTGGGAAACATTTCTGTAACCGGAGTTTCGCCGACCCAGAGATGACAAAGGGCGTTGTGTTAGGAGTTTATCCCAAAGGAGGAGATGAGGACGTGCCACAGTTCACCAGCGCAGGAGAGAATTTTGATAAGCTGGTGTCCGGAAAGCTGAGAGAACTTTTGACCATATCTGGACCACCTTTGAAGGCGGGCAAACCCCGAACCTTTCACGGTCTGCACGAGGACTTCCCCAGCGTGGTGGTTGTTGGCCTTGGCAAAAAGACAGCTGAAGTCAATGACCAGGAAAACTGGCATGAAGGCAAAGAAAACATCAGGGCTGCTGTTGCAGTGGGCTGAAGGCAGGTTCAAGAGCTAGAGTTCTCTTCTGTGGAGGTGGACCCCTGCGGACATGCCCAGGCTGCTGCAGAAGGAGCCGTTCTCAGGCTGTATGAATACCATGATCTGAAGCAGAAGAAGAAGGTGATGGTGTTAGCACAGCTCCATGGAAGTGGCAACCAGGAGGCCTGGGAGAAAGGAGTCCTCTTTGCTTCTGGGCAGAACTTGGCATGCCACTTGATGGAGACCCCAGCCAATGAGATGACGCCCACCAGGTTTGCCGAGATTATTGAGAAAAATCTCAGAGGCGCAAGCAGTAACACAGAGGTCTACATCAGACCCAGGTCTTGGATTGAGGAACAGGAAATGGGATTGTTCCTAAGTGTGGCCAAAGGGTCTGAGGAACCTCCAGTCTTCTTGGAAATCCACTACAAAGGTAGCCCCAATGCGAGCGAACCGCCGCTGGTGTTTGTGGGGAAGGGAATTACCTTCCACAGCAGTGCTATCTCCATCAAGGCTGCTGCAAATATGGATCTCATGAGGGCTGACATAGGAGGGGCTGCGACCATATGCTCAGCCATTGTGTCTACTGCAAAGCTCAGTCTGCCCATTTATGTCGTGGGTTTGGCCCCTCTTCGTGAAAATATGCCCGGCAGTAAGGCCAACAAGCCAGTAGATGTCGTTGGAGCCAAGAATGGAAAGACCATACAGGTGGATAACACCGATGCGGAAAGGAGGCTTATACTAGCAGATGCACTCTGCTATGCACACACCTTTAATCCGAAGCTCATCATCAATGCAGCCACCTTAACAGGAGCCATGGACATAGCTCTGGGGTCTGCGGCCACAGGTGTCTTTACCAATTCATCTTGGCTGTGGACCAAACTATTTGAGGCCAGCATTGAAACAGGGGACCAGGTCTGGAGGATGCCCCTCTTTGAACATTATACAAGACAAGTTGTAGACTGTCAGCTTGCTGATGTCAATAACGTTGGGAAATACAGGTCAGTGGGGGCCTGTACAGCTGCAGCTTTCCTAAGAGAATTCGTGACTCATTCTAAGTGGGCTCATTTAGACATCACCGGTGTGATGACCAACAAGGATGAGGTCCCGTACCTGAAGAAAGGCATGACCGGGAGGCCCACACGAACTCTGATCGAGTTCTTACTTAGGTTCGGTCAAGACGAGACTAATGCTTAGTTTAGATGTGTAATTCCTTCACTGTCTGAAACTGGACAGTGGAGCTGCCAAATGCTTGAATGAATAGCTGAGAATCTTTCAAATGAAACAAAAGGAGGTATTTAAAATGCAGAACAAAATGCAATCTGTATGCCTAATTCATTTATTCATTTTATGCAGAGATTTGTGAAGATAAACCTTGTTTGGCAAGGATTTTAAAGATAGTCTATAAATAGTGATTAATTAAAAAAAAACTAGCTAATGACTTTTCTGAGTATATGGTTAAATTGAGAAGCAAAGTTTTATTTTCAGATTTGTGATATTAGAACATGAACAGACTAAAAGTTACTATGCATTTGTCATAACAATAAAGCCAGCATTTTGCCCTTTCTTGAAAAAAAAGTATCAACTCTTCTTTGGTCCTCCTTATTCATTGTCCAGCTCTCACATGCATATGAGGCGATTGAAAATACCATGGTTTCTGTCAGGTGCACCTTAGTCCTCAAGGAGACATCTTTTCTCTTCAGTACTTGAAAGAGGTCCTTTGCAGCCAGTTTGCCCAGTGCTATACATCATCTGATGTCCTGACTGCTGTTTCCATTGGTGTCAATTGTAGAACCAAGCAATGTGCAGTCTTTGACAATTTCATTCATTTCTCCATTTATCATAATGCTGCTTATAGGTCCAGTTGTGAGGATTTTTGTTTTCTTTATATTGAGATGTAATCCGTACTGCAGACTGTAGTCTTCAATCTTCATCAGAAGTACTTCAAGTCATCCTCACTTTAATCAAGCAAAGTTGTGTCATCAGTGTATCAGAGGTTATTAATGATTCTTTCTCCAATCCCAATGCCACGTTCTTCTTCATATTGTCCAGATTCTTGGATTATTTGCTCAGCATACAGATTGAATAAGTATGGTGAAAAGATACAACCCTGACACACCCCCTTCCTGATTTTAAACCATGCAGTGTTCCCTTTTTCTGTTTGACAACAGCCTCCTGGTCTATGTACAGGTTTCTCATGAGTACAATTAAGTGTTCGTGAATCTCCATTCTTCTCAACGTTATCCACAATTTGTTATGATCCACACTATCAAATGTTTTTGCATACTCAAAACACAAGTAAACATCTTTCTGGTATTCTTTACTTTGAGCAAATATCCATCTGACATCAGCAATGATATCCCTTGTTCCATGTCCTCTTCCGAATCTAGCCTGCACCTCTGGAAGTTCACTGTCAATATACTGCTGCAAACATTTTTGAATTATCTTCAGGAAGATTTTTACTTTCATGCGATATTAGTGATATTGTTTGATAATTTCCACATTCTGTGGGATCACCTTTCTTTGGAATGGGTACAAATATGGATCTCTTCCAGTCAGTTGGCTAGGTAGATGTCTTCTAAATCTCTTGGTATAATTGAGTGAGTGCCTCCAGTGGGGCATCCATCGGTATGTTGAAATATTTCAATGGGTATTCTATCAGTTCCTGAAACCTTGTTCCTCACCAATTCCCTCAGTGCAGTTTCGACCTCTTCTCTCAATACCATTGGTTCTTGAACATATCCCACCTCCTGAAATGGATGAAGATTGAACAGGTTTTTTTTTTGGTACAGTGACTCTGTTTTCCTTCCATCTTCTTTTGACACTTCCTGCATCATTCAACATTTTGCCCGTAGAATCTTTCAGTATTGCAACTCGAGGCTTAAAATTTTTCCTCAATTGTTTCAGCTTGAGAAATGCCAAGCATGTTCTTCCCTTTGGGTTTTCTAACTCCAGGTCTTTGCACATTTCATTATAGTAATTGGCTTTGTCTGCTCGAGCTGCTCTTTGAAATCTTCTGTTCAGCTCTTTGATCTTGTCATTTCTTCCATTTGCTTTAGCTACTCTCTGCTCAAGGGCAAGTTTCAGTCTCTTCTGACATCCATTTTGGTTTTTTCTTTCTTTCTCACCTTTTTAATTACCTCTTGCTTTCCTCATGGATGATGCTCTTGATGTCATCCCACAATTCTTTTGGTATTCGATCACTGGTGTTCAATGCATCAAATCTATTCTTTAGATGGTCTCTAAATTCAGAAGGGATATATTCAAGATCGTATTTTGGCTCTTGTGGACTTGTTTTAATTGTCTTCAACTTCAAGTTAAACTTGCATATGAGCAGTTGATGGTCTGTTCCACAATCAGCTCATGGCCTGGTTTTGGCTGAAGATATTGAGCTTTTCCATCACTCTTACCACAGATGTAATCAGTTTGATTCCTGTGTACTCTGTCAAAGTCCAAGGGTATAGCAGTGATTTGTGTTGTTGAAAAAAGGTCTTTGCAATGAAATAAGTCATTGGTCTTGCAAAATTCTATCATGCAATCTCCAGTGTTATTTCTGTCACCAAGCCAAATTTTCCAACTACCAGTGATTCTTCTTTGTTTCCAACTTTTGCATTCCAATCATCAGTAATAAGCAACACATCTTGATTATATGTTCAGTCAATTTGAGACTGCAGAAGTTGATAAAAATATTCAATTTCCTCATCTTTTGCTTTGGTGGTTGGTGTGTAAATTTGAATAATAATTGTATTAACAGGTCTTCCTTGTAGGTGTATGGATATTATCTTATCACTGACAGAATTGTACTTCATGACAGATCTTGAAACATCTTTTGTGACGATGAATGCCATGCTATTCCTCTTCAATTTGTCATTCCTGGCATAGTAGATCATATGGTTGTCTGATTCAAAATGGCCAAAACTGGTCCACTTCTGCTCACTAATGCTTAGGATATCAATCTTTATGTGTTCTATTTCGTTTTGGACAACTTCCAATTTTCCTAGATTCATACTTCATACATTCCATGTTCTGATTATTAATGGATGTTTACAGCTGTTTCTCCTCAATTTGAGTCATGCCATGTCAGCACACGGAGGTCCTGAAAGACTTACTTTATTCATATCATTAAGGTTGGTTCTACTCTAATGAGGCAGCCCTTTGCCAGTCCCATTTTGAGTGCCTTCCAATCCAAGGGGCTAGTCTTCCTGCACTGTGTTGGACAATGTTTCCAAGCTATTCATAAAGTTGCCCAGTAGTGTATCAGTGTTTCTCTGCTATTCATAAGGTTTTCCCTGGCCAATTTTTCAGTAGTGGATGGCTTCCTTCTTCTTCCTAGTCTGTCTTAGTCTGTAAGCTGCATTGAACCCTGTGTACTATGTGTAACTCTGCTGGCATCTGAAATACCAGTGGCACAGCCTCAAACCTCACAGCAATGTACAAGCCTCATAAGATGACAAACTGACAGACAAGTTTGTCTTCCTTAGCTGTTGGAAACCTCTGCACCCTCCTCTTACCTAATTTGTACCTGAAACAAGCCACTCTGTGGTCCCTGGCTGCTCCTGGTCCCTCCCTTGCCTGGCTCTAGGGGGCTTGGGGCCTAGCCTTGCCTCCTGCCCCTTTTTACCTAGATATCCTGCCACTCCCCAAGGCAGCTCCTGGTCCCTGGTCCGTGGTTTAGGTAGATATTGTGATTCCAGAAACTTGTCCATCTCTTCTAGATTCTCAAATTTGTTGGAGTACAGTTTTTTAAATAATATTCTGTCAGTATCTTTTTAATTTCAGTTGGTTGTGTTGTGAAGACACCCTCTTTGTTTACTATTCTAGTAATTTGCATCTTCTCTTTATTTTTATTTTTTTGTTAGATTTGTCAATGGTTTGTCAATTTTGTTAATCTTTTTGAAGAACCAGCTTCTTGTTTTGTTGATTTACTCTATTGTTTTTTTGCTTTCTGTTTCATTTATTTCTGCTCTGATCTTTATTATTTCCTTACTTCTAGATGCTGTGGGAGCTCTGGTAGCATAGTGCCTAAAGCACTTGACTGCTAACCAGAAGGCTGGCAGTTCAAACCCACTAGCCACTCCTTGGAAGGAAGATGGGGCAATCTTTGTAGTGATACTGCCTCGAAAACCCAAGGAGGGGTCGCTATGAGTCGGGTCCGACTTGCCGGCACATAACGACAACAACAACAACAGATGCTGTAGAATTCTTTTGTTGTTCTTTTTCTAATTGTTGGAGTTGTTGAGTTAGAGGGTTGATTTTGTTTCTTTCCTCTTTTTTGGTGTCTGCATTACTGCTATAAACTGACCTCTGAATACTGCTTTCAATATGTCCCATAGCTTTTGGTAAGATGTATCTTCATTGTTGTTTGTTTCTAGGATTTTTTTTTTTTATTTCTTCTATTACCCAGTAGTTTTTGAGCAGTGTATATTTCAACTTCCATGACTGATGTTTTTTCTTTGATCTTCCTGTTATTGATTTCTAATTTTATAGCAATGTGGGCCAAGAAGATGCTTTGTAGTATTTCAATGTTTTTAAATTTATTGAGGCTTGTTTCATGTCCTAACATATGATGTATTCTGGAGAATGATCCATGTGTACTGGAGAAGAATGTGAATTGTGCTTTTGTCGGGTGGAATGCTCTGTATATGTAGATGAGGCCGAGTTGGTTGATTGTGTTGTTGAGTCCTTCTGTATCTTTACTGAGTTTTTTTCTAGTTGATCTCTCTCTCTTTGAAAGTGGTGTGTTCAAATCTTCTACTACTATTGTAGAGTTGTCTATTTTCCCTTTCAGTTCAATTAATATTTGCTTCATGTATTTTGGAGCTCTTTCATTGGGTGTATAGTTATTTTTATTAATATCTTTTGGTCAATTCACCCTTGCAGTATCATATAGTGACCTTCTTTGTCTGTTATGTTGTTTTTCACCTTAAAGTCTATTTTATCAGAAATTAATATTACCACTCTTACTCCCTTTTGGTTAGCATTGGCTTGGTATATATATTTTTTCCACCCCTTAGTATGTTTTGATCTTTGCGTCTAAGTTGAGTGTCTTGTAGGCAGCATATCAATAGGTCTTCTTTTCTTATCCCATCTGCCACTCTCTTTCTCTTGATTGGTGCATTTAGGCCATTCACATTGAGTGTAATTAGTGATAGGTAGGCATTAATTGCTGTCATTCTAATGTGTTTTTTTTTTTTTTT